AAATGGACAAGTTGACAGTCACATTCACGCTCTCAGTCATTTCTTTCGTCTATCATTCTCCGTTCTCAATTACACAGGACATCAGGCAAGTTAGGGGGATAATCTTTATTGTCTCACACTTCTATGGGGCAATAAACAATGCAGGGTGGAAGTGAGGCACGACAAGCTCGGTGTCTGCCTGATTGTAAACAACCTGGTGGCTGGCGCTTATTTCAGGGTTCTTATTGACAAAACCACTCAACTCTTGGTGGCTCTTAATGGAGGGTCAAATGTAACAAATTTTCACTGAGTGGCTCTTAATTGAGGGTGGCGCTTATTTGCGGGTTTTTACGGTAGTTGATGTTGGCAGACAATCAGTTATAGGAGCAGCTCCACTTAGCCGACTAAGTCAACAGCGAAGCTAATAAAAAGCTTGAGCCTTAATAATTAAAACTGTCCCAATATAAATGTTTTTTTATTTCCTCGCATAAATTAGTTAACATCTTAATAGTTTTTTTTAAAATACAGGATTCATTGATTTTGGTTAAAGTTATCGCTGTACAGAGCGGCGTAAGAACATGTACACAAACAAACAGCTGCGTGTATACATACATAGATACACACAAGCACACATACTATTTCATTCGTTTTTAAATACAGTAAATTTTCTAAAAATACAAATATTGACCACTCTACTATGCTACTTTGCCATAGCTGTCGTTAAGATGACGATAAGGGAGTATCCTTTGTAATCTGCTGTATTCTCCAAGTATGCAGGTCAAATGCCTCAAAACCTGCGGGAAAAAAAAATATAATTTGTCAGATATAAATTGTCAGATGCAAAAGGACTAAAGAACGATTAAGAGCAGTTGAAAAGTGTAAAATTAAGAAATCGAGCAATGATCAAAGACCTGAAAAATATATGCATGTTTCTGATCTTAACATTTTGTCAGTTAAACCATGCAGCCTGTCGGCTGAGATAGCCCCCCGCTGTTAGTAATGCACATTGCAATTAAAGAACAGAAGATATCATTAGAAAATGAACAATATGTATAGTATCAAAGCAACAGGACTTCAAAAATATCACATTTCACCAAAAATAATCATCAAAATTAGATAATTAAAGATATCATTACAAAATGAACAAATCTGAAATGTTCACATGTAGTACATATATATGTACGGTAATACCAAAGCAATTGATTGGACTTGCAGTTTTTAACAAGAAGTCGAAAATATCAGATTTTACCAAAAATGACAAAAATATTCACCAAAATTAGAGAATTGAAGATATCATCATGAAATGAACAAATCTGAGAGAGGTCTACCCAAGGTACGTATACACTAAGTATCAAAGCATTCAGGCTTGTAGTTTTCAAGAAGAAGTTGAAAAAGTAAAACATTGACACGGACGACTACTGACGACGGACAATCACTTATATGATAAGATCCGCTTGACAAAGTCGACAGCGGAGCTAAAAATGTGTACCTCGCAGCTTTTTTTTAAAAAAAAAAATAAACATGTGCAAAAAAATGAAAATGGATAAAGCCGGATGAGATGCTGGTGATAATCTCAATGCTATAGCATTGGTTTTCACGAAATTTAAGCAATTCCACAATGAATATATATTTATATAAAACATGCATCTTCACATCTTACCTTCTAGTCTAGGGTTGGATTTTTTTTCTACATAATAAACTGGACCACCTGAAATAGAACAAATTAACAATGTCAAAAATAAACAATACATGACATTTAACCTTTCATCACCAAAACAAAAGTACCTTCAAATCAAATATTCAGAAAATATTTATAAAAAATTGAGATCAAATACTGAAACACTGTTCAATAGTAACTAACTACTGAATTCTGTCCCATTAGTAACCAAGTACAAGTATAACCAAGTGAATATGTGTCAACAGAAGATGAGAATACGGAAAATACAAAAATACAAGTAATGAGTGCTAACAAGGAGGTTCATGCAAATCCAGGCCAGACATACAACATGTAATGCCATTCACAATGACACAATAATGCCAGCACTGCATATTTGTGGCATAGCTGACATACTAGACAGCTTTACAAGCAACACATATTACATATTTATAGAATTCAGCGGCACAGGAATTCTTGCCATTTAATAGAGGTCAAATTACAATTCACTCACAGCTGTTAACTCATTTCTCTCCAAAGCATCCATAGATAGTCAAAATGAATTGGCTGGAGATGCGTTATAATGTTCCTCACAACATTGTAGGATTAAGCGATTTCACTTATAGTGATAACAATTTGAGAATTGTATGGTAGTCATGGAGATAAAATTTTGCAACAAAAGTCACTGACACTTCATGCTGTAGAACCTCAGACAAATTTTCACTGCTACAAAATTTTGCGATTTTAAATTGACTGAGGATCTTGCAAATATTTGTCACTTGCAAAATTGAACAAGTTTACAGTACATTTATACGTGAACATTGTTGAGTGATTTAATTTTTTTTATGTATTTTACACAAGTTGTATACACAGCAAAGGAACCACATCAAAAAGGACTATTTGTGAGGACACTCGCACTCGATAGTTAATAGATGGAATACTAGTAAATGTTGGTCTAAAGGGGCATCTCCATTAAAGCCTAACAAATCTCACAACAAATTTGCTTGCTGGATTAAAATTAAAATGAATAACAAAGGATAGACTGACATTGTAAACAACATAAATCATGTCCCATGATTGATAGGTGTAATCCCTGGGTTTGGCAGGTTCCCCTTTAATAGCTTTCCAAAAAAGCATTGAAATGTTTATTCTTCACACAGGTTACATAAACCAGGGGTAAGGTACATTTTTTTTTTCATGAATTATACATCCAGTATCAAATTGTTATCATCAATGTGATTTATTCTACCAGGAAGCCTCAATCATATAAATATAGCCTACCTAATAAAGTGTGTCGTACTAAACCTTTAGACGAGTGACAGAAAAATACAATTACATGGTAATTTGAATTATAATTAACCATAATACCTATAAAAAGGTAATTGGATAGTATTATAACTACCGGTCTTTAAATACAGTTATGGAATATGAGACGCAGCTAACAGAATATATAAAAGAACTACAAATCAATCAATTAAATGACAAAAAGGAAATACTGTAGAAGTAGAAATTATTTGCATGTTTTTAATTTCGCGAATTTCAAGAGGAGTCCAAAAAAACAAAATTAAAACCACACAAAAATTTTCGGTTCAGTGTTAGAATGTAGAACACAATATCCAAGTCAAAACAACACTCATTCTGATCATACCCACGATGTTACAAGTTTTACCGTAGTCATTGACAACTCTTCAAGAGTATGTTTATTGTCTTTAGCTTCAATTGGTAAAGCTTCGTTTCGACAATGAGCTGTTTTCGCCATAAACAATATTAAATTAGTCTTCAAACGTTCAGTTTATCTTCAAAAACAACTAATTTCTTGATTTAAAACATAGTTGAACTCTGGTGACCTTGCCCTTTGTTATAATATAATATAATTCCCTTTAACATATTTTGTTTCAATATAAATATGCATTGTCATAATTAATTTTGAGTACAAACAAGTTTTGGGATTGAACCAACAGTGGGGAATCAGTCTACCGAATGTCCTTTAAAGATGTAAATATCTTACAAAAACATTGGTGCCTTAGGGACGACGTCAAAAGATCGATGTCGGATAAAAAACTTATTTCATTTAGTTTGGGGGTGGGGGGTTTTGACCTCAAAAAGTTTCCATCCTACAAAAACGATTTTATTTTTTAATGAAGTCAAAAAAAATCTTGGAGTATTTGTAGTTCGTTTTTTTTCTACTATCCAATCATGGATAGAAATAACCGAAAAGGAAAAAAAATATCCAAGACGAGAAAATGGTTTGGTTCGAGTGTAAATCTGTGCGTCAAATGAGGTGCATTTGTAAAATCTTTTTACACGCACCCGACAACCAACTGTTATGCAATACTACTGTCCGATTATCAATTTGTATTTAATGGTGAATGTAGTCTGACGCCATGACCAATATTTATCAATTAAGTTTCAGTGGGGGGTAGGGGGGTTTGGAAAAAAACTAAAGGAATTAAGTTTTTTATCCGACATCGATCTTTTGACGTCGTCCCTTATTTGTTTAATTATTTTAAGGGACATAATTTCCAGCTTTATTCAAAGTAATTCAGATATTTTAGTATAAAAACAAATGCCTCATAGCAAAAAAAAAAAGTGCTGCATTTAGACGTGAATAGATTCATAAAACATGCAAGATAACAGAAAATCTTAGCTGGCTTTTATCCAAGTATTTTGTACAGGTGTCTGTCAAAAATTAATGATTCACTGAGACAAATATGAACTGCCTCATTGTGTGACTACTACTGTCTTATATGAAAAGTAAAAAAAAAAAACACCCTTTATGAATAGCTATCATGTTGCAAGCTCTGCTTTGTATGCAAATCAACTTAAATAGTTAGTTGGTGTCCAGTGGAGGGAGAAGTCAACAGTACTGTTGCCTCCTGAAAATCTACATCTTCAAACACTGCAATCTTTGAAGTACGTTTTTAAACTAGTATTATAAAAACTCTATCATTCTGTTCTAATAGCTGAAACATATTCCTGTGAGTTTTCATTTGTCGAATGAACTGTTTGTCAAATACAGAATACATATATTTTAGAATAATTTTCTTTTTAAAATGTGGATGAAATGTTTGGCTTTTAATGTATTTTTTATGTATTGTTTTTGATTTGATAACTTGAACTAAACAGATTTTCTATGCTTCAGATCTTGATCAAAGTTGCACCCAGTTCATAGGAGTGCTTATGTTGATTTTCTGACATCTTGTTTTCTGTAAAGATTTTATTGGTAGGTTTGCAAATGTGTATCAGACTGTGCAATCTCTCCATGAGTTGGTTTTGAAACCCAGTATGGGATTCTGAGATACATTACCAAGGATATTATTACAAGATAAATCATTTGCTTCATTGAACACATACAACAATGCATATTTCCACTGAGATCAGTGACCTTTGATGTGTATCACCAGTGATCAGTCAAGTAGAAACAGTCAAAATATTTTATCAGATTTTCTCAATTTTTGCATGATATTTTCATACAGGACATCTGTTGTTCACGACTCAGGGAAGACTTTATACTGATGAATAAGGTGGCCAAGTTTGATGAAGTTTGGAATAGAATTAGTAAAGTCATTATGCACACAATAACAATTATTAACGACGACGACGACGACAACAACAACAACGACAACGCCGGACAAAATTTTTCTCTTAATATACCTTTTCCTTCCATCTTTGATGGTACGGGCAAGGTAAAAACAATCATGTTGTTTTCCTATCAAAATCAAAGGTAAAGATCGAACTAAAACAACGGCAAATCTCTTACGTGTTGCGTTCATTAACATTAACATATTCAAATGAGCTATGGTACCATGTTGGCATCATCCAGCATTTTGATTGGTTAATTAGCGATTTGACCTATCAGGTCAACTTGTTAGAGACAAAAATGGCAGATATTGTATCACATCGAGCATTTATATGCGATCGGAATCATTCGCTTACGGTGAAACAAAGTTTAATTTTACTTGCATTTCATAACAATTCATTAAATTTACTTCTTGTACATTATTAATTAATAATCACTAACAAGTAGTAACAAGCCATGCATGGCACAGTCCCCGTTAGTTATCAAATTTAAGATATATAGTTTTGTTTATAGTAAATAGCTGGAATATAAACATGTCAGGAATATGATTTTTTAACATTAAAATGATTGACATTTGTATCTGATCGTCAAACAAGTACTTGTCCATATTGAGAGATATTGCTCTGGAACAGCTTTAAAAATCAGCCATTATGAATACATGTATATATATAACATGTTTAACGAATATATAAAATTTGAATATACTTGAAGCCCAATCATTAAAACAAAATGGCCGCCAGACAGCCATTTTGAATCTGATCTGAAAAATGAATGTGCATCAGAAACCTGTAATGTCTAATATATGTACCAAGTTTGAACACAATCCATCTATAAATGCCAGAAATGCTTGATATTTGATGATTTTTTTAGCACAAAAATCGCCACCATTCGGCCATTTTGAATAGGATCGTCAAACCAATATATCTGTCTATCTATGACATGATGTATAATGAATATTTAAAATTTGAACATAATCAGTGAAAGCAAGTCAGACATATGGCACGAGAACCACATTCATTAAAACAAAATGGCCATCAGTCGGCCATTTTGAATCTAATCTGAAAAACAAAATTATTTGCATCAAGGTCCCATAATGTCTAATGTATACACCAAGTTTGAACAAAATCCATCTGTAACCAGTCGAGAAATGCTTGATTTTTATGATTTTTTAGCACAAAAATTTCTAAGATACAGGTCCGGACGCACAGACAGAAGCACGCACGGACACACGGAGGTCAAAACATAAGTCCCCGTTCAGACGCAGTCCGAAAATAATAATCAACAATTGTCAAATGCAGCATGAGAGGATTGCGCTACCGTGATCATTTGCTATTCAGCAATGCAGTTGTGTATTTATTTGAAACTTCTTTTAGAATAAACTTTCATTATTACTTACCAATAAAATTTTAAAAAATAAATGCATATTACATTAAATATATACATCTACAAGTATTTTTTGTCATCAAGTGAAATTTTTTTTGATGAACCACTGATTGATTTGTATGGATATTTTCTGTTGACGCCTAACACTTGTGTTTTCAAAGGGATGATAGTTTTTGTATAACTTTGAGCTGCAAATAGGTGTTGTGTAATACTGGTAGATGTGCAGGAAATAACTGCTTTGTTGGAGGCTGCACGTGTCGGAAATCAACAAGACATTGACTGACTGCTTCACGTGGTATGACCCTTTGTTTTATTTTTCGACAATCCGCGAAATTTAAACACCACGAAATACTAGGACAGCTCAAAAACGCGAAATTAAACACACACGAAATTAAATGTTTCTACAGTAAATGGGGTACCCCAACTTATTTCCATGGCAACAATGACTTGTGATTCCTCCTATAGTGTTAACCTGTACCATGGCAGCCATTTTGAATTGAAAAACAGATGCTACTATCGATAATTAGGAAAATTAAAACAAGACTGGAATTTGAATAATTCAGAGAGACAGCTAAGTTGACCTTTAGTGGAAGTGTTAATTATTCAATTCTACAACAGATTTTGTCTGTATCATATCACAATTTCAACACTGTTAATTTGCTCATAACTTCATCAACTAGACTATGTACATTTCACCTTGCTTTAGTACCTGTAAGTAACAAGAATTGGGGAGAAATCACAGAGGAAACAACACCCTCAATAGATGCTAATCTACAAGCATCCGAGGGGATTACCTAGAAGAAGCATTATACTGTGGAATACTTTATTTTCGCTGGAATTAATTTTCGCTGAAAAGGCTTTTGGGCGTTTTGCTTGGAATTTATTTTCACTGATTTTTCATGAGTTTAATGTGAAAAAAGTATATTCGCTGGATTTTATTTTCACGGAATCATCCCTTCAGCGAAAATAGCGAAAATAAATTCCAAGCGAAAATAAAGTATTCAACAGTAAATGGCAGGTGTGTGTTTAAAAAATAGTTTGGTAACCAATGATTTTTTCTTTGGACTTTCACATAGCCAGTCACCAGGAATAATTCAACATTCTTGTATCAAAACCATGTTTATTCCTGAAACAACTGAAGAAGTATTCTTGATCCATTTCACACTACAGTGTGTATTAAAAACACAAAGAAAGTACTACTTTAGTGTAATGACACTTGGTATACAAAACTATGTCAGAATGCCACAATAATTTGACCTAGTGACCCACCACGAACCAACAATGTACACCAAGAAGTGTACTCTCAGGAATTTGGTGACGTCTTGAATGGGTGAACATATCCTATGGCAACCATCACAATGTTGGTAACCAATCGGCTGATATAAATCACTAGCAGTGTATCAAGACAGTTTAAAGAATAAAGTATTAAATTCCATACCAATTCCATGTACCTCTGATCTCACTATATTTAGGAGATATGTTCAAGATAAACTATTCAGATTAATCAAGATAAATTGAGTAAACAGCAAAATATGATATCTGATTAGATTTTTAAAAAGGTTGGACGTACTTCAACTCAGGAATCAGATTAATGTGATCAGACACAACCAGATGAAGTGAACCGCAAATTATGTCTATCACATGTGTCTCAATTTTCTTCCATCTGATTAATCTAATCAGATGAGATAAATCGGATCACTCAGGATCATTGTGTAAACGAGCCTGTATATTGGTTCAAGTTCACAAACTGGCTCTAAATGGATTAATGGGTCTTTCTGTAATTCTATATAAGCATGTTAATAATCAAAACGGAATATTTACACCACACTTTAAATGCTCTGATGACATTTTTGATTTAAAAAAACAAAAAAAAAAACATTTTTTTTTCAACTTTTTGTATACAGGACACAATGGCTTCATGATACATTAACTAGCCATGCTAATCATGACTATTGTATTATTGTTCTCTATGGAGTTCAAGACCTGTATCAAAACACATGATCTATCATATAACAGTCACTTGACACCGTAACCTTTGACATAATTGCTTTCTGAGGACAGATTATCTTATTGCCATGGCAACAGTGCAGTGAAAAAAGTGTGCATCAGATATAGTTACAACTGAACTCACCTTCCTTTTTACTATGGCCGAGTTCATTTTCTACTCGCCTCCAGGCTACAGAACAAAAATAAGTAAAATTAGCCAACAGGGTCATGATAGAATATATTTTAGCTATATTTGGGCAGTAATATTTATATTACCACATTTGCTTTATTAAAGGTGCATCTGTAATAAAAGTGTACATAAACCAAAGAACGCTAGATCATTAAAATCTGACTGACTTTACTGCAGCATCTCAGTCATACATATGAGCACATGTGCTACTAATAGAGCAAATACTGTACAACTACATGCCTTGATATAAGTGACATTTACTCTCCAAACATTTCAAATATATAATGTGGTTTATATTCCAATTCTTTAAGTCTTAATTGTAATGGATTTTAAAATTTCAAAATGAAATACATAAGTAATTATTTATGTCGAAACTCTTTGGAAAATAAAATAATATTTGGGCTATATGTATATTTTAAAAATAAACAACAGAATAAAACAATGTTTCTAGCAATAAACAATAAGTATAATAATTAAATACAGGGTCAATGCATTATATGAATATAAACAAGAGACAGTGACAGGGTTCTGCCCAACCAAGAGCCTGTCTCAGGGCTCTACCCAGCTTGGTAAGAGTCACAGGGTTCTGCCCAACTAACCAGTCAAGAGCCTGTCTCAGGGCTCTACCCAGCTTGGTAAGAGCCACAGGGTTCTCCCCAACTAAGCAGTCAAGAGCCTGTCTCGGGGCTCTACCCAGCTTGGTAAGAGTCACAGGGTTCTGCCCAACTAACCAGTCAAGAGCCTGTCTCAGGACTCTACCCAGCTTGGTAAGAGTCACAGGGTTCTGCCCAACTAAGCAGTCAAGAGCCTGTCTCAGGGCTCTACCCAGCTTGGTAAGAGTCACAGGGTTTAGCCTAACTAACCAGTCAAGAGTCTGTTCAGGGCTCTACCCAGCTTGGTAAGAGTCACAGGGTTTAGCCTAACTTAAGCAGTCAAGAGCCTGTCTCGGGGCTCTACCCGGCTTGTTAAGAGCCACAGGGTTTAGCCTAACTTAAGCAGTCAAGAGCCTGTCTCGGGGCTCTACCCAGCTTGGTAAGAGTCA